TCATTTCGCTAATTGGGATCATTTACAATTATTATATGAAATAGATATGTGTGCAGACACAGAACTCAGGAACTTGAGGAAAATAACACGATGTCATGTATTGCTCTCATGTATAAAAAAAATGAAAGTTAAATATGCATGTTGAAGTAAATGTTAAAAAAAAAGTTTGGTTCCTTTTGTCATACACAATTGGCACTACAGCCATATTCTTTTTTTATTTACTTTATGTTGAACTCTGTGTTTTTTATAATCTATGATTGTTACTCTTCCCCACACAGGAAACTAACTGATCCTATCCGCTGTACCTTTCTTTCTTTGATTTTGTACTGTAACCGCCTCTTTACATTTTTCTTGTGTGCATAATAAAGTAAGGACTTCTTCATACAAGCATATTGATAATTCTCACATCCGATCCACATCAACAATGCAGCACAAGTTTTTAGCAGAACGTTTGCTAGTACATTGGCCACAGCAGCAAGATATATGCATTCAATATCTGACGGGTCAGTTATGCCAATAGAAGCTTTGGATACAAATAAAATTCTGCTCTTTATGAATAATTTGTTCGATTCGCTTAATGGAAAGAAAGACGCTAAAGATTCAACTACGTGGCGCCGACAAGTATCCATTAATTCTGGTCACAAAGAATTCTGGATGGAACAAAGAAAATTTATACAAAATATGCGATTTGTACATAAAATAACAATGAGACCAGTCCGTCATGTTTCATGTATAACAAATTGGTTAGTTACATTACAAGGTTTTATACTTTTGTACAAACGACTAATCTTGAAAGAAGGTTTCAAAAGTTTTTCTCCTCGTTATATCAATCAAGATAATCTTGAAAACTATTTCAGTCGTATTCGAAGTCAAGGTTGCAGAAATATTGTGCCATCTAGCTGGCAATTTATTGGAGCATATAAATCTCTTCTCATATATAATTTTATATCGTCACATTCATTAAGTGCGAATTGTAAAAATAATGAAGATGATATGCTTTTGAACCTTGCTTACATGCTTGATAAACATAGTAACAATCTTGATAGTGATATATTAGACGAGGATAATATTAACATCGAAAACAATTATAATGACAATCTTGATATTAATCAAATTATTTATGATGTTGAAAACAGTACTAAATCTTTGTCCACGGATTCAACTTCATATTCACAGAGTAACTTAGCATCTGTAGCATTTGTAATTCGCAAAATGTTACGTATTATGAAAGATTGTATTGAATGCAAATCAAATATTTTTTCAAATAGAGATATAAATGGAAATATAGTTCAATGTCTTAATCCAAAAATATTACAATCATTTACAAGATCTGTACAGATCATTCAAGATTTACTACAATCATTTGCATTTGTCAAAAATATTGTAACAAAACTTACAGAAGTGTTAAAGTATAAACTACCTTTTCA